TAGGCCACCTTAGATATAGCTCTGGTCCATGGGGTCACGAAGAGTCGGACATGACTAAACGACTAAACAACAACAAGACCAATTCAAACCATTGGATTTAAGTCCATTGATCACAGTGGGTATACTCAAATGCTAGTGTTTTTCCCTCTTAAACAATCAGTAATGATGTGCAAGTCCACCATGTGGATTGGCAAAGTCACAGATAGGTTTTTATTCCAAAATGGACTCACAATCTAAGGCTATGATCTCATGCCTGCCTGCTTGAGAATGAAATGTGCATTGCATTGTGCTATAACTAATATAAGGGGAAGAGCAAAAATCAAGGGAAAGCAATTTCTCCCATCTCTTGGGAATCATGTCAGCGACTGCCAAATAATATAAGCACAAAAGGTTTAATAGTAAATAAGGCTAGTGAACCTGATTCAATTCCTATAAACCATAGAATCATAGAATCATAGAATCATAGAGTTGGAAGAGACCACAAGGGCCATCGAGTCCAACCCCCTGCCAAGCAGGAAACACCATCAGAACACTCCTGACATATGGTTGTCAAGCCTCTGCTTAAAGACCTCCAAAGAAGGAGACTCCACCACACTCCTTGGCAGCAAATTCCACTGTCGAACAGCTCTTACTGTCAGGAAGTTCTTCCTAATGTTTAGGTGGAATCTTCTTTCTTGTAGTTTGGATCCATTGCTCCGTGTCCGCTTCTCTGGAGCAGCAGAAAACAACCTTTCTCCCTCCTCTATGTGACATCCTTTTATATATTTGAACATGGCTATCATATCACCCCTTAACCTCCTCTTCTCCAGGCTAAACATGCCCAGCTCTCTTAGCCGTTCCTCATAAGGCATCGTTTCCAGGCCTTTGACCATTTTGGTTGCCCTCCTCTGGACACGTTCCAGTTTGTCAGTGTCCTTCTTGAACTGTGGTGCCCAGAACTGGACACAGTACTCCAGGTGAGGTCTGACCAGAGCAGAATACAGTGGCACTATTACTTCCCTTGATCTAGATGCTATACTCCTATTGATGCACCAGTGATGACCAAACAGAGTCAAGCCACTGTTATCTGTAAATAGTGGGTATACCTTGCAATGCCACACTACTGTTTGTTTCTGAGCTTTATGGCATTCTATTCTTCAATAATCTCTTGAACTTCATGAGATTTTTGCAGTAACGAAACTACCAGGAATGCTGTCCAAAGAACACACTCTACTTCTTTGTATTGTATTGGAGGTTTGGGGAATGACTACAGGAGAAAGAGAGGAGATCTAATTCAAGTTTTAACTCTGGGAAAAAAAAAGTATTAAAAAATAGGAACTATTTTAAATCAGCAAACCCACCAGGAATCCCATGAGCCAAGTATGATACAGGCAACAGCTCTTTCCTGCTATATGCCCTCATATTCTGGCATTCGGGGGTAGGCTTGCTCTGGAAATGGAGGTTTCATTTCAGTGTCACGGATAATAGCAATCAATAGACATATCATCCATTAATTAGTCTAAAATATTGGGTTTTTTAAAATAAAATAACTATACAAGCTGATAGGCATCATTACATCTGGTAGTAAAAAGTAGTAGTTGACTACCACTACAGATTCAGTGCAATAATAAGATGCATAAAATGTCATCCTCTCTTCATAATAATATGAATAATCCTCTTCATAATAATATGGTGCAAGATGACCACTCAGAACCACCAAAGAATATATGCAGCATCAGCAGAGGTGCTCAGAAAATTGTGCAGCCTGAAAAGCTTGGCCTCGTTCCAGCAATGCTTTCTCACCAACAAGTAGCTCATTTTAGCATGCTGGACAAAACACTTCTTTCACCGTGAAGCAGCCTGTTACTCCCTTCCTGGCTTTCCCTTTAACATTCCCCAAGACATCATTTTCACTTACCGCTTCAACTTTCTGATGCACCATGACGGCTGCTGGGAAGCCACTGCAGCCTAACCAAGCCTTTTGAATTCAAGTCGGCTGTTTGTCAGCACAGCAGGCTGCCAAGACTTATCTTGCCTTTTTGATTATTGTGACAAATGGAAGGGACAAAGGGCTAATTAGAGAATCGTAGCTTCTTGAATTGGTAAGTCCTGGACAAATGCCAAGCAATTCTTGCTTGGTGTGTGTGTGTGTGTGTGTGTGTGTGTGTGTGTATCCCATTCATAAATTGCTTCCTATCAAGTACCTTGAAGTGATTTCACTGTCAAAAAACATCCATGATAAAAAATACAACAAAGTATAATTTCATGCACCAAACATGAGAAAGCAATTCCACATATAAACACAATTAAAAATAATCTCATATCTAAAAAACAATTTTGAATCTGATCCAGATATAGATACAGGCTAAACTAAAGATCTCCGCTTAAAAGGCTTTTTGGAAAAAGAAGTTCTTCAACAATGCTGAAAAGACAATGGGAGTGGCATTTGCCTGGTATATAGTGCTATATTTCTGAGTTCCTGCGAGGTCCCCTTGGAAAAAAGCCCTGCTGTTATGTAACATGAAGGAGTTTCGTAGCAAAGGTGCTCCCACACTCAAGGTCTGGGGTTGCATTCAAGTGCAGAATCATAGATTTACAGAGTTGGAAGGGACCAAGAGGGTCATCTAATCCAACCCCCTGCAATTCAGGAAACTTTTGCCCTACGTGGGGCTCGAACCTACGACCTCTCCCAACATAGCTATCCCAGCAGATACATTGAAATTCATGACCATAGCTGTGGGCTGTCCACATGTCCTCCTGCTGAATCAGAATAAATGTAAATTTCTGCAGACTGACATTTGATCTGATTTAGCGGTAAACAGTGCGTTTTCCCTGGGGAAAGTGGTGGAACAAATGGAAATTGCCCTGACCTTTGCCTACAAACCACAGGACAAGAGGAAAACCTCTTGGGTCAGTGCTTTCTAGGCACATGACAAGGGGAAGTGTGGGTGAGCAGTCCTGTGGGAGCAATCTTAGGCACAAGAAGCTGGCATGAAGCAATCAGTGTAAGTTAAGCCAGTGCAAAGTTGTGCCAGATTCAAACCTTGTTCAGCAGAGGGGCAGCTGCTGCTGTTCTGACAAAGCCTGGCAGAGGGAAAACAAGTCGGTATTATGTTGGCTTGCTAGGCCACATGACCAAGCTGAATGGGCTTTGAATCCAACCTAAGTCCCACCCCACCCTGACACTGGTCTCACTATGCTTCCAGAATGCCCCAATCTTGACTCAGCACACTGATCCTCAGCTAAGCAGGGATGAACAAGTTACAATGACATATACAGTGGTACCTCGGGTTACAGACGCTTCAGGTTACAGATGCTTCAGGTTACAGACTCCGCTAACCCAGAAATAGTACCTCGGGTTAAGAACTTTGCTTCAGAATGAGAACAGAAATCGAGTGGCAGCAGCACAGCAGTAGCAGGAGGCCTCATTGGCTAAAGTGGTGCTTCAGGTTAAGAACAGTTTCAGGTTAAGAACGGACCTCCAGAACAAATTAAGTTCTTAACTCAAGGTACCACTGTATTTGGTTGAGCTGAGGCTGGGGATTTAACAACAGCTGATCCAGAGATCTGGTGCATCCTTAGCAGATGGCTACCTTGAGCTTGATTGGGGCCTCTGACTATAGAACCATAGAATTGTAGAGTTGGAAGGGACCCCAAGGTCAGAATCCTAAATCAATGTCATGTAAAGCAAGTATACATTTCCAAGGAAACTTTTAGCAACCCAATCAAGTGATTCCAATTCTAATTTCTTCTCCGTTTCAAATGGAATTAGATTCTTATGGACATTCTCCTCATTAAACATTACTATAAGTGCTATGATTAATACAGAAGCACCAAACTATATGATTATTTTTAAAAAAATATATATGCTGAGACATAAAATATAGACCTTTGCACATAGGTGTATCTGGGCAAAACTTGCTATTAAGAAAAACACATTTTCAAAAAAATAGAAAAAAATGCAGGGGGCGGGGATTTATACCAAGAGATTGAATAAATAACCAACGAATAAAATATGGAGAACAGAGAATTAACATTAAAAAGAAATATAGGATGTGATCTTTTCCTTCCAAATGTTAGAAGAATTCATTGTTTTTCACATAAATCATGCTCATAAAAATGGACTGTAACAATATTGCATCACAGGATAACTTATCACACAGATCAATGCATTAAATTACCCTGATGCTGTTTCATGAGTGTCATCAACAGAGAGATAAATGCTTCTGTCTACTCACACTTCAGGTATTCCCTTCACACAGTAAATCCTCTTTACCTTTTCATTAAAAAATAGTAAACTGGGGGCATATTGATATGTATATTTTTTGGCCAGATTCCATTCTCCTCTGGCAATTTTTGAAATTAAATAGTCATATCATAAGATCCCACACTAACAGAACAATCTAACGCATGTTCAGAGAGTTCAGCTAGCATAGGCTGGCTGCAGTGGGAGTCTCCTAGCTCATATGGAGATCTGCTGGATCCTCACCTTCTCATCCAGGCAAATATTGCCATGGGATTGCTCCCTAAGTCATGCCACACTAGGAAATAAGTAGTTAGGCATGGATGCAGTGTATGAACAGATATGCCAGGGTGATATTCAACTAAGTTGCACTCAGAGTAGGCCATTGATTTCCACTATGAATATAGTACACAACATATATTACATCAAAATTGCAGCAGCGTTATAGGAGGGCTGACCCACCCCAAATGTTACACCACTAAGCAGAACAACCAAACATTCTCTCTCTCACCTGCTCTTAAGGTGTGGAATTTGTCCATGAAACTAAATCCAAATCTATGATACTTTCCATATGACAAATGCAAAGAAGTACCGTAATTTACACTTTTGTCAGAGCATTATCAGAGCTTGGAAATTAGGTTAGATGATAAAAGACAACCAAGGGAGACAAATCAAGATGTTAAATGGGGAAATAAACAAGTAATAGAAACATAGAGTTTAGAGGACCCTGAGCGTCATCTAGTCCAAATACTTGCAATGCAGGAATCCTGTCCACAGCCATTCCTGGGTGGGCTTGAACCACCAACCTTCTGGTTAACAGCTAGACAAACTGACCCGTTACACCAAAGAGGGTATCCCCAGATTGCAATAGTGGAGGGCTATTCTCTTTATTACTTTTGTATACTTCTTATGCTTTTTGACATTCACATATAATATGCTTAATGATTCACTCCAAAACTCATAGAAGTGTTCTAAAAGAGGCTGGTAAGTTTTACTGTTATTGGAAGGAAGGAAAAGCAATCAATATGCTAAGTGCCTTTGTCCTCTGTAAGTGCATGATTGTAGTCTGGAGCAAGATGCAAAAAATTAAAATACTTACCTGCCGAGTTGATTCCAGAGAATGTCCTCTGGAGTAAGTCATTTGAGGTTTTGAGGCGATGTCATTATCAAATTAAAAGTGTTTTTGCATAAATACTTGCAATCTGTTTGGGGAAGAATTATGTAATTACGTAAATATGATACAAACATGCCAACTAGAATGCTACTGTGAGAATAATGAAGCTCCTTTCTTCCTATTTCTACATGCCATCCTGTCTTGACCCCCATCTGCACTTTAATGCAGTAGCAAACCACTTTGAACAGTGATTAATCCTGGGAATAATCCTGGGATTTGTGGTTTGATAAAGGTACTGAGAGTTGTTTAGAGGCCCCAATCCCCTTAAAGAGCTACACTTGCGAGAATGGTTTAAAGCAGGCATGGTCAAACTTGGCCCTCCAGATGTTTTGGGACTACAATTCCCATCATCCCTTACCAATGGTCCTGTTAGCTAGGGATGATGGGAGTTGTAGTCCCAAGACATCTGGAGGGCCAAGTTTGGCCATGCCTGGTTTAAAGTCATTCCCTCTTTCCAGGGAACTCTGAGAATTGCAGCTTTGTCAGGGGAATAGGAGACTCCTAACAACTCTTAGCACCCTTAACAAACTACAGCTCCCAGGATTCTTTGAGGGAAACCATAACTGTTTAAAGTAGTAGTACAGATGGGGTCCCAACCTTTCAAGAGTGCTGCCATCCAGGGAGGTGATGATTCAGAGAAGTGGTCAAGAAGTATGGCAGTTAGCAGAAGCTAACATGGAGCAGGGGAGGTTCAGGACCCTGGACAGTACTGTAGGTACTGGTCAAGAAATCATTGGCACATGTTCAGGACTATGGCTAGGAATCCTGGTAAAGGTAAAGGGACCCCTGACAGTTAAGTCCAGTCACGAAGGACTCTGGGGTTGCGGTGCTCATCTCACTTTACAGGCCGAGGGAGCCAGCATTTGTCCACTCCGCAGACAGTATTTCCAGGTCATGTGGTCAGCATGACTAAGCCACTCCTGGCGCAACGGAACACTGACACCAGAGCAGCGCACAGAAACGCCGTTTACCTTCCCGCCAGAGCGGTACCTATTAATCTACTTGCACTTTTGGCATGCTTTCAAACTGCTAGGTTGGCAGGAGCAGGGACCGAGCAATGGGAGCTCACCCTGTCACGGAGATTCGATTTTGATCGGCAAGCCCAAGGCTCAGTGTTTTAGACCACAGCACCACCCGCGTCCCTTTTTAGCAATCCCAGAACTAAGTTAAAATACCAGTTGCCTTTGCACCAACTCACAATTGCTAAGGTTTGATAGCCTAGCCAGAAGAGTCCTTCTGGAAGCTCCATCCCTCCGTACTGAATCTAGCTATATTGAAGGACTTGCAACTTGTTTGGCAGTTACCAAGCTGTCTCTCAGAGGTAAAGGCTGTTGCAGTGATCTGGTTGAGAAACATGCCCCAGGAGATTTCCTGATCACTCTGTCAAATGTCAGTGTTATTTCCCTGGATTTTAATGGATGGAGTGCAGGATCAAAGGTGGAGAAACCTATCTGGGAAGGACTGGTGAGTGTGCTTGACTCCTCCTCTTAGCTGCTGCAGCTGCGGAGCTCGGTCTTAAATGTTTTTGGCTCAGGGTCATGAAACACCTGTAGGCAAATATCTGAGTGCTGATAAAGCCAAGTATTTCTGTTTTTCTGTCTGATTCTTACTATTTTGGTTGCCCCAATGGATATTGCTTTCAAGTAAATGTGAGTGATTTTATAGTATTTGGCCGTGTAGCTATGGTTGATTGATGCAATCCATTACTTCAAGGATGGAGTGTTATTTAACAGATATCATTATTATAGAATACAATACAGTACAGTACAACAACATATAATTGTATATGTAGGACAGGAAAAAAGGACTGCAATTGAAGGATACTCTGCTATTATTTTACCTTGTGCACCTGTATGATTGCTGAACTCCTCCGTTCCAAAGAAATAATAATAAGATATCACCAAGAAGAATGATTTTGTACTCTTTAGGAAATACAAAGAATATAATATGTCTCAGCCAACTGCTCTGAAGTCCCATTGATTCAGTAGGAAAGTCAAGCACTTGGTTAAATTTGTTCCATTGAAATCAATGACACTTTCAAGTGTTCAAATTTGACTAGCTCCTGCCCAAATTATTATAATTTTTATTTTATTTTTAAAGCTCAGAATCAGTCTTATTTATTCTGTATAATGACACTGTCAAACAACTGTGTTTCATCCTTGCATTTTTTTATTCTCTTTTAAAAATAAATCTATTTGAAATTGTAAATACTTCAAAGTCACAAGTTTAGATAAAGATTTAGAAAAAAAAAAAAAACTGCAGGAGGAAAAAAGTGGTAGATGTATTGAAGAAACACACCCTGAATGCTTTTGGCCTAATTCCTCAGTTTACATGGCCCAAAACATATCCTCCCAGAAAGAAAGAAAGAAAGAAAGAAAGAAAGAAAGAAAGAAAGAAAGAAAGAAAGAAGGTATGGGGGGCATATTAAGTTATTGAACATTAACTAATATATTAAATTAAATTTATATCCTTCACTTCTTTTAAATGAACCCCCTTTTTGCAGTCCAGTTCCCTTTTAACCACTCTCAACTGTTCCAGTCAGCTGAGCAGCACAAAGGAGACTTAAGAGAGAGGGACAGTTTACACCTTCCCACCCCTTGCCACAATGCTGATGGAACCCACCCTCTTGCCTCTATTAAGTTTAGGAGAAAGCCTAATAGCCCAATAAGCATATGAGTAGCAGAGGAGGGAAGGGCCTGGTTGAGACAGAGTGTGAAGTGCCCCTAATCTTACTCAGTGCCTTTTCTGGCCTCACCCATGGCAGGGAGGCAAAGTTAGTTTGGGCTTGCACGCCTGGCTTCCCAATGCTGAGTAACACTGCTGAGAGCAGGGCAATGTGGCACAGGGAGATCAGTGGGGTGAAAGCATGGCAGCAGGAACTTTAGATTTGCTCTGTCACGCTGTCTGCAGCACACTGAGATCCCCACACCTTGCTCTTTCAGCCCTCCATTCTTGGTAACTGCAGGTAGCCCCACCGCTCTGTTAAGCCCAGAAGCTCCTCAGCCGAGGGTTTGGATTGCAGTATCCAGAAATGGCACAGGCCATATGGATAGTCTCTGAAATCATGTCAGTCAACATGAGAATCTATCTAACCCCACAAAACGTTTCATTTCAAAACAGGGAATTAAGAATGGTCAAAGCACAACAAATTTATTGTTTACCTGCAATTATTGAAAACCATAACACACACAGTGCTGTAGAGATTCCCCCCAAATGTTAGCATAACTGAGAACATTTCATGCTCACTGGGGTGAAAGGCAGGATTAAAAAATTGCCAGCGGTGGCTGAGCCTCAGTTAAACTGGGTTGAGGAAATTAAGCCAGTGTATCTTTGGCCGAACTGAGGTTGGGAGCTTAATGCTATCTGAGGCCAGCTGAGCTGGAAATCAGGCAGATGAGCTAGAAGCCGAAGAAGAAGACTTTGGATTTGATATCCCGTTTTATCACTACCCGAAGGAGTCTCAAAGCGGCTAACATTCTCCTTTCGCTTCCTCCCCCACAACAAACACTCGGTGAGGTGAGTGGGGCTGAGAGACTTCAAAGAAGTGTGACTAGCCCAAGGTCACCCAGTAGCCGCATGTGGAGGAGCAGAGACGCGAACCCGGTTCCCCAGATTACGAGACTACCGCTCTTAACCACTACACCACACTGGCTAGGAAAATGCTGCATCCTAAACTGCTCATCCTGGTGGATCTGTTCATAGGATTGCCCTCTAAAAATATGAAGTCAATATGTAATATGAGACGTATTGCTTTAGATCCTTTGTCCAATGAGGGCTTGAATATTTCAAGCGTACTTTTGAGTAGCTTCATTTGGGAACCACTGCTATATAGCAGTGTATCACGTTGCCATGGTAAATAAAATGACTACAACTTTGTGTGGGCGTTTGCATAAGTGTATTGAAAAGATTTGGTAGAAAAGAGTTATTATGTATGTGGGAATATTTTCATTAGCTTTATATTTTTAGATATGACACACCTCATTAACACCTTCATGAGGCAGCATTCGTTATCACAAGCAAAGTGATGTGTTGAATGCACCAGTGCAAAGAATAACCTCCTGGGCAGGAGGAGGGATGGATCTCATCAATCACTGAGAAACAAAATTAAGGGAGAAATCCTATACACAAGTAATTGGCATAAAGCAAGCTGGTGTAAATTAAGCTGGCATAACGTTAACCCAGATCCAAACCTTGTTTGTAAGAGAGACTGCTGCTCTGTTTCCAATAGTGCTCTCTCCCAGATTGCTGGGTCAAGTGACCAAAATGAATGGAATTAACATACAGCCTAAGTCTTCCCTCTTTAGTCTTGACATGCCACACCCTGGAAGTCCCCATTTTGACTGAGTGCTAAGCCCCAGATGCTAAGCCCCATATGACTGAGTTATTCCAGCATGATGATGAAGATGATTTAATTATTTGTACTCTGCCCATCTGACTGGGTTGCCCCAGCCACTCTGGGTGGCTTCCTACATATACAAAAACATAATAAAACATTAAACATTAAAAACTTCTCAATACAAGGATGCCTTCAGATGTCCTCTAAAGAGGAGGGCGTTCCATAGGGTGGGTGCCACTACCGAGAAGGCCCTCTGCCAGGTTCCCTGTAACCTCACTTCTTGCAGCGAGGGAACCACCAGAAGGCCCTCGGAGCTGGATCTCAGTGTCCAGGCTGAATGATA